GGATAACTTATTTTTAAAAAATTGAAAATGTTCAGGTGTGGGTGCTCCACTTAGATTAGTCACAGGCTCTATGTGTTATTTAAATTAAGCTGCCCCAAGTCATATGAATTCAAGAACTCTTCCAGGGCAAAGTCAGAGGTGGGAGAACTGCCTACCTGAAAAATTACCTGGTGCTAAAAAAATCCATGAACCACATGAAGAGATAAGTAAAATAGGGGCAGCTTAACCATATTTGAAGTCCAGATTGTCAGTGGAATATTAAATGGTCTATTGTGCTACAGCAGCTTTTTAAAAAATACCTATCAGCTCACATGCAATTGTTAACCAGGGGAATAATGTTAGAATAATGTGGAAGGTGGTTCACACTTATTTTTTTCTTAGCACTTTAATGTCTTGTGCTACAAAACCACAATTAGCTGAAATACAAACATTGCAGTTGACTGCATGATTGCACTGGGGTCAGAGGAATACAGTACTCAAATGATGTCTTTTCACCTCGTGACACCCAATTTGTACTTAGCCTTGGTTCAGCCAGGTACTCCATTTTGATAGTGCTAATGTTGCAGTTATCTTTTATCTCTGTACAAATGCAACATTGGACAATGTGTCAGAACCATTCAACTCTGATATCTCCACATTTCCTGCAAAATTTGCAATTACTTCTCCACCTGCAACTTCTGATGGTAATGTTCTCCTGCTCGTTTCCATCACTCATCAGTGTCTACCCTTCTTTAAATTGTATGTTACTATAGCATTTGTTAGAAATTTTGCATGTCCTTTCAAAATGAGTTAATATTTTCATTTGGATTATCTCAGCTAATGCTACAGTTTGGTGGTTGCCAAATTTTGCTACATATTTGTTATCTAGGGATGCTTTAGAATCCCGAGGCCCAGCTTCTCCCCCATACAATTTGATTCAGAATGTCTGAGTGTGGGAGTTGGTCATCAATATCATTAGATGATACCAATGAGCAGCAGTGCTTGGGAACAACTGTTCAGTTGCTCAGGTTTTGAGAGGTCTTTCCCAGACCTATTTTTTTCCTTAAGCTTTGTTAAGTGCACTGTTTTTGAATGTAAGGATTTTCACATTCAGTATGAAAATATCATATTGTAGCCAGAATATTTATATTATTGCTTTTGGTCTCTGCTATTGTCTGAATGTTGGTATGCCCCCAAATTCATATGCTTGAACCTAATATTCAATATGATAGTATTAACAGGTGAAAGTCTTTTGGGCAGTGATTAAGTCGTAAGAACTCTGCTGGCGTGAATGATGTCCTGATAAAAGAGGTTGAAAGGAGCTGCCATCCCCCTTCCACTATATGGGAATGCAGCAAGAAGGTGCCATCTACAAGGAATAGGCCCTCACCAGACATTGAATTTGCTGGTGTTTTGTTCTTGAACCTCCCAGCTTCCAGAACTATAAGAAATAAATTTCTGTTGTTTATAAATTATCCAGTCTAAGGTATTTTGTTATAGTAGCCCCCTGAACAGACTAAGACAGTTATCAAAATAAAAACAATGGTAGAAGGGGGGGTGAGAATTTGGGGAGACGTTGGTAAAAGAAAAAAAACTAAGTAATATTTTAAAAAATACCGTAAAGAATGCATAAAAGTATATTTAAGTATTTTATTAATATATACTGCCCTTTATGAACAAAAACAGTGGGCCTCCAGAAACAAACTGGTTCTCCAGACCTTTAAAGTAAAGCACATGCCATTGTTGTACAACCAGTATGTTCTGTGGCCTCACCATTGGCTGGTGAGCAACATGTGTCATGCTTACACAGCTCTACAGGTCGGCCCTGACTGCTTTGTTAACGAGCAGTCCTGTCTTTTCCTTCATCACCCTACCCTTGCTATCCTTCTGATTCACCAGCCACTATTACTATGCCACCCAGGATTTGCTGTCTGCCTCACTGCCTTTCTTAACATCTGTCATTTTTTCCTGCCTTTCCATTCACTGCTGCAAATCAGAAACTTACACTTGGATTCCTGCTAGCCTTCTTATCTTCAGTGCCTATGCCACTAAATACTAACATCAGGCTATTTTCCTAAAGCATATTTGTACTTTTTCTCAGACCCCAACTTAAGTCTTATCTTTTTGTAAAACCTTCTAAGACTCTTAACTCATATTCATTTTTCCCTTAAGCACTTGTGTACAGATCAATGTGTCCAATCATAAAAAGGCAGTGAACAAATTATTGAATTTGGGATAAACTTTGGAACTAAAAAATGGCTACCTATAGTTTAGTCTATGTCATTGAATATTAATAACATTTATTGAGTGCTTATAATTTTCCCGACTCTACAAGAATTACTTTTAGTTCCTCAACAATTTGATGAGGGTACCATCATTTTCTCTTTTTACAGATGGGAAAACAGAGGCACAGAATGCTAAGTAATTTGCTCAAAATCACAGAACCCAAATCCAGACAGTTCCTGAGTCAGTGTTTTAAGTCATGATCGTAAGATGCTTCTCAATTAACAAAACAATTATATACGATATTTTTCCATCCTTAATGGAGTTAAAAATCTCTTTATTACCATAAATGAAATAAATATGAAAAGCATTTTGTAATTTATAGTGCTAAATGAACTAAGACTTCCATATTAATTACCTTTATTTATAATTTGGAATATTTACTTTTCCATGCACTAATTATTTCATGCTTACAAATAAAGCACTGTAACTATTCGGAACTTCCTTGTAAGGAGAGACTATAATTTATATATGTCCTTTTTGGCCTATGATGACCCGAGTTAGATATATTTTCAATATATAATTACTGATTGTTTGACACCTTTACAACTTGTAGAAATTTACAATATTCCTTGTAGGATTATAAATCAGCTCAAAATAAAAGTAAATAAAAGTTCTCATCATATTAAGTTAAAATACATTATTTTAATTTCAAAATTACTATTGTGACAACTTTCCATGAACTATTTACAGAGAAGTACAAATTCAGTTTCTCCAAATTCTAATAGGAGTCTGATCCTACTCAAGATTTAGATTCAGAACTAATGGAATAAAATGAGTGTCTACTCCAAGCATACTCTGGTTGACACTTTATCAGTAATAGAACATCATTTAAATGAGCAGTACTTTGAAAGATTTTGATTTGAATGAAGCTTTCACTACACCTTCACTACATCCCTTCTTAATTTTTCATTTGTCAGATGTGTGTGTACATATATATATTTCGTTTTCCTCTTTTGGAGTTTTAACTTCTCTTTATGAGATATTAAACTCTCTATGTTCCTGTATTCCCAAGGTCACAAGGCTACATTTGATAAATCACACGTATAATGTCTGCATCCAGACGTAACACAATTTCTTGTCTTAATAAATGCACTTTTCTTTATGCCATAGGCTTTCTCTCCACATCTGTGATCCTTAGGGACTACAGAAAATACAGTAATTTTAAGATGTGTAAAAAACAAAACAAAACAAAACAAACCCGAAAAAACTTCAACCAAAGAAATTATGATGCTCCATAAACACTGCACATCTGCTATTTATCTGGCATATTAATTTAACAAAAACTAAACAAAGCCTCATAAATGTATTTATAATGAAAATTATTCCATCAGTCACCATATGTTAGTAAACATTTTAAAAACATAAGCACACTCTCAAGGATGAATAATTCATGGATAATTCATTTTTAAAAGGTTGCAGAGGTTATTTAAAAAAATAACTCCTTATTGATTATCTCACTGATCATTAATTAATACTTTGGTTTTCTTATAGTTTCACGCCTAACATTTGCAAACCACACAGTATCTTTTGCTTTTTCATCAACAGCAGATACTTTCCATTTGTTCCCCAAAGAATATGAGACACTCACAACCCAATTCCTAGGTATATGTGATTTCAAACAGATCAAAATAAGTTTTCAGTATGTAAAATATTAACTATTTGGGAATCATCTTGTAGGTAGTTTTTGTGGGTATGCACTAATGAAAAGAAATGCTTCCTTTTCAGAGGAAATCTGACATTGCAAGAGTTTTTTCAAAGTCACAATTCTTGTTAAGAAATTACAAACATAAATGAAACCATAAAGATATTTTCTGGAAAAGAAATCGCTCCCACCAGTGTTTTGTGTATAAATCCCTTTCTAACTTCAAGCCCTTGTAAGTTAGGACGTTACAGTGAAACAATGGGGAACTCATGGCATTTTCTAGCATCATATCTGGAAATAACCCAAATGAAAGCTGGGTAGGGTCTAGGGAAACTGAGGCCCAGAAGCGTTGAAGTGACTTAGGGGAGGACACCAACGTGTGAGCGGAATTAAGATCAGAACCCAGTTTGGTGCTTATCTGCAACTCTTCCTGAACCGGTCCCATCGTGGCGGTGCAGCACCGTTTTATTGACCAATTTCACCCTGACGAAAGGGAGACCTTGAGCCTTGGTACAAGTCTGTTTTCTAAGGGATCCTGACACACCTATTCGGAAGTGACAACGCCTCCATTCTGGAGCACTTTTTGGGACGTATGCAGAATAACCGTACGTGTTTTTCACTCCTGAGTTCCTCAGAGATGAGCATCGTGTTACAACGTCGCAATTTTGTCCTGAGTCACTTGGCGGCTTCTTAATCTTCGGCTCCTGCTGACAAAAACTAGGGATATCACCCCTTCTCTTCTCCTTCACTCGTCAGGAAAACACCTTATTTCTTCTTGCCTGCCCTGTCTTTTCTCGACATCTTCTCCGGTCAACTTGTCCCACACGGTCTTACCCTCAGCTACGAGGCTCGCTCCCCACCTTCTCCCTCCTCCTCCACCTTCAGGAAGCCTCTTCCCTTTTCCGCCTCTCGCTCGCTTTCGTTTCTCCCGGCTTCCGGGTCGCCGCCCGGAACAACAGCCCGGAAAAACGCTGCGCACGCGCGCCACCTCGTCATCGCCGCGCTTCTTCTGTTTGATTGGCCCGTTCTTCTCCATTTCCGACTCACGGTGGCTACGGAGCCTCAACTCTCGCGAGATTGGTTGCTGTCCGCGGGCGTGAGCCGTTGCGTGTGTTTGGCGGTTCCTTTTTCCTCTGCTTGTCGCCGGCGCTGGTTTTTTTTTTTTTTTTTCTTTTGCTCGGAGCTGCAGAATCGAGCAACATGACGTCTGCCCTGGAGAACTACATCAACCGTATCCTCTGGCTGGCCGCCGTGGGCGTGAGCCGGGGCCACGGCGAGGCAGGCGCTCGCCCTGGAGCCGGGCCGGTGCAGGAGAGGCGGGATCGGAATCCGCGGGCGGTTGGGAAGCCGGGTCTTGGCGGGGTCCGGGTGCGGGTGAGGGACGAGGCCCTGGGGACCTCCGCCCAGCGGCCCCGGGGCTCGAGCCCGCCACTCCTGCGGGCCCAGGCTCCTTAGCCTGAAAAAAAAAAAAAAAAAAAAAGTAAAAACCCGGTGTAATTATTCCAAACTTCTCTCTAAATATACCCTCTTAATTCATTCTTACTGTTTCCCCGGGGTGTGTATGTTCAAGTTTGGGAATAAGGGGAACAGTGGCCCCCGCAGCGGCGATGACCTTGTGTCTGTGTACTTGATTTATTCACAGGCGTTCCTCATCTGTTTGAGGACAGCACACATTTTAAACATGGGTCACAGACTGAGTGTCTGCCCCGTTCCCACTTGAAGTCCCAATTTGTTGATGGAATGAAAATAATACCTGCTGTTGGCCATGGAACATAGTTCAGTCTTAAAGTAGCCTTTTCGAGTGTGGCCGGCTTTAAAGTCTCAATGCAAAAACACTGCATTGTGCTCATGTACAGACTGGAGACAAAAGTGAAATACTGAGCGCTTATAGTAGTGCAGGCATAACTGGTACCCTGGGATATTGATTATAGCTTATTTTAATTCCAGAACCCCGTCTTGGATGACAGTGTCTTAACATGCCTGAAATCCACCCAACGTTGGTTAATTTAGCACTCATCCATTTATTTTTCATTTTAGAAATAAGGAAGTAAGCCTACGAAATGAGGAAATGTGTGGCCAAGGTCATAGATGGGCAACATTCCTAGTAAAAAAAAGTTTGCCAAAACTCTGAGTTGTTTTGAGACACTACATATTGATCACATTCTATTTTCATTTTTAAATTGTGTAATGATCACAAAGACAAAAGTAGAAACGTTTTTTTTTGTTTGGAGTCTCACTCTGTCACCCAGACAGGAGTGCAGTGGCACACTCCTGGCCACCGCAGCCTGGACCTGCTGGGCTCAGGCCATCCTTCTGCCTCAGCCTTCCAAGTAGCTGGAACTACAGGCGTGCACTACCATGCCCGGCTAAGTTTTTTGATTTATTGTAGAGATGAGGTCTCGCCAAGTTGCCAAGGTGGGTCTTGAACTCGTGGGATCAGCCAATCCACTCACCTCAGCCTCCCAAAGCGCGGGATTACAGGATGAGCCACCGAACCCGGACTACAGTAGAAACTTTTAAAGTTTTAATGTAGTGGCTGTGTTGATGAACGCTTAACCTACTTGTCACCTTTTTTCTAGAAATTCAGATCATTACCAGAGTAAGTAAGTAAGTTTTCAGTTTGCATTCCCTGAGAAGCAACTTTCCTTGATTCATTTATCAGGAACTGTTGCTGTTATTACTTCTGATGGGAGAATGATTGTGGTAAGTCTTTGGCATTTTTATTCTCTGCTTTCTTGTAGGTTTACTGATTATACATTTTATGTTGAACCGCTGATCTCTAATGCCTAGGGACCACAGTTCATCTGTATTGCAGTTTTATTGTGATTCAGATATTCACTTTATTTTTAATAGTTGGGGTCTTGCTCTATCACACAGGCTTGAGTACAATAGCACAATCATAGCTCACTGTAGCCTTGACCTCCTGGCGGCAAGCAATCCTACCTCCTCAGCCTCCTTAGTAGCTAGGACTACAGGCAGGTGCTACCGAACCTGGCTATTTTTTATTTTATTGTGTAGAGACAGGGTCTCACCCAGGGTGATCTTGAACTTCTGGCCTCAAGTGTTCCTCCCTGCTCAGCCTACCAAAGCGCTAGGACTATAGGCATGAGATTAAGTTTTTATCTCTTTACTACCAATTCATATGTTCTTATTATTGTTGTATGTTACCTATAAGGCTTCTAGAAGCTAGAATAATGGATTCTGCCCTTAGAGAGCTCCTATTCATGTCTGAAGATCTGTCTTAAATTTGTTTATCTTCCTCTACCATTTTTGAATTTCCATCCCCATTCTGACATTCCCCATATAAATCATATAATTTTTTGAAATCTTGTGTATGCGTCTTAGAAACCACATATATATGAATATTTAAGGTTTTGATGGTCTTAATATTCTTTGACATTTTTTAGGTTGTATGACTTCTGTCTTCTACAGGACATAATGATTGATTCTAAATTTATATACATTATTGACCTGTCTATAAAGATACTTCTCTTGCTAATTTGGGTTATAGAGCAAAGGTAAAACCTTCCTATGGCTGATACTTGTATTTGGAATCTGATCTGAGGAACTAATCTCCAAGGTTTTTAGCTACTTAATATTTCCTCATTTATAATTCATACTTTCAGAAGTCTTAAGGTTGCTAAACTTTCTCTAAATAGTTTAATCCTTTATCTTCTCATTCTGCAGTTTTCCTTTTCTTTGTTTTCTTTTCAATTCTTGCAGTTTTTTTTTCTAGTGGATTTTTAATGACTATTATTAGTCAAAGTGCTAGACTTTCCCACTTATTAAATGTATGTGATGTGCCAGGCACATATGTTTTACATTATTTAATCGGCATGCAACCTTATAAAGAGGAATGATCCCTGTATTTTAGGTTAGGAACCAAGCTCAGAGAAAGGGAATCACTTTCCCAGAGTCACAGGGATAACAAGTGGCAGAACCAAACTGGGGTTTAAAATGGGTTTGACTCAGACTCAAGAAGGCCAGCTGCCTTACTTCTTTCTTAATCAAGGAAGTAATAATCATTTTTTTTTTTTTTAGACTCCTCACATTGTATTTTGTTAAATACAGGCAGTTTGGAATATTTAATCTCAACGCTTTAAAACATAATATTACTACTAAAAGATATTTGCAAATAATTTTTTTATTTTGTGAAAACCTTAAGTTTATATTTTCTATTTTTGTTAACAGGATAGATAATAAGCTGAAAACATTGTTTTTAATTTTATAGAAGAAAGGAAGTGATATAAGAATACCTTAAGTACTAAAATTCATGTTATGTGTAAAATGAAGCCAAGAAGTTAAGTATGGGTATTTCTTTTTCTTCCAAATTCAAGGTTTCTCTTTATTTCATTCTGATTTAATATATTTTGATTACCAGAATATAAAAGTTTAATAGTGAGCTTGAGAGATTTAACCAACTAGAACCAATCTAAGTTGATGTTTTTTTCAGAAACATGAATAGTACCTGAATTACTATGTTGTGCTAGGCCCATGTCTTCCTTTATTCAAAACCAAGCTTCTTTCATAAAACTTTGCCTGCTTATTTCCTTTAAGTTCTGGTTCTAATAATTACAGTTTGTATTTACCGTAGTAGGTTATTGGGATAACTAAATAATAAATACATGCAACACACACTAAATAATATATACATGTGAGATATATAGAACACTGGCAGTTAGTTAGTACTCATTAAGTATTATCTATAACTACCAGTTGAAGTTTTTATAAATTTATGGGACTGATTTGAGTTGAAAAGTGGCAAATTAGATTTACTTGTTTCTAATAGAATAATGTAGTGGTTCAGTGGTCTGGCTCTGGAGCTGGCCTTTTGTGGTTTAGACCCTGACTCTGCTGCTTCTACCTGTGAGATCTTGAGAAACACCTCTCTGTGCCTGAGCCTTTCTTCTTTGAAATGGGGATAATCATGGTATTACCTCAAAGGTTAGAGAGTAGCTGAGATGATGTATACACGTGTTTAAGACACTGCCCAGTACTAGTATGTAGCCTGCAGTAATACTGTTACATGCCTATAGCTTGTATTTGTGGTTCCTCCTTATTTATCTGTATTTAGATATCATTTTCCCTTAAATCTATCTCCCTTGTTTTAGTTTGTGTCCTTAGCTCCCGTACTACATGAGCTTTTATGCTGCTTACTTAGAAATACTCATAATAGTACATAGATGTCCTTTGTAACTCAACAACTTTGCACACTAGCCAGGTGAATGGTGTAGTTCTCCATCCCCCGCCCCTCACACCTAAAACAACTAAGAAGTAAGTTTTGTACCCTGGAATACTGCTCGTTATTTTAAAAAGCAATTTTGTTTGGCAGTGGACTTACATTAAAATAGGTATTTCTGTTGGAGTAACTAAAAACTAAAATGGTTATAAGGTTGAATTTATACATTTTGATAAACCAGAATATTTTTCTTTTTCTCCTGGGTGTTTTCTTTGCAGGGAACACTGAAGGGTTTTGACCAGACTATTAATTTGATTTTGGATGAAAGCCATGAACGAGTATTCAGCTCTTCACAGGGAGTAGAGCAGGTGGTACTTGGGTTGTACATTGTGAGAGGTGACAATGTGTAAGTAAAGTATGTCCTTTTATGGTGATTTACAGTTATCCTGTAGGTGTACTGCTTTGTTTTATGGAGAAGAGGTTTTCCCAAAAATACTTTACCTTATCATCCACGCATAGTTAATAGATTCAGGGCATTCGTTGGTATTGTAAATGTGGCTTTTCTTATATTTACTTAAAGTAAGACTCATCTACTTTTCAACTTTTCTTCAGGTTTCAACCAAAGCCATCTCTTTAATAAATAAACTTTTACCTGAGATTTGTCCATATTTCTAATAGTTGCGTAGGTGGCCTGGATAGGGTCCAGAAAGAGCCCCCCACCGTATCCAAATACTTCATTAAAGAGACTTCTTAAAACGTTCTTCCAAATATCCTGAATTTTAGAGGAGCATAAATATATTTCTGGAGTCCAAGACTAGAGTTTGAAAAATGCTTTTGAAATTTCTTAATTCATTCACTATAACAAATTTTTTTAGTGTAATTGACACACTGAAGATGTCCCAGGTATATCCTGTGGCCTCAGTTAACTTGGGACACTCTGATATCCTGCTAAAGAGTATTTTAGTGGTGGCAGTTTAAGAAAACTGCAACACTATAGAGGAGTGCTGTCCAAAGAGTTTCTTGTGATGATAGAAATGTTGTGTATCTGCATTTTCCAATACAGTAGCCACTGGCCATGTGTGGCTATTGAGTACTTGAAAGGTGGCTGGTATGATTGAGGAACTAAATTTTAAATTTGATTTAATTATAATTCATTTTAATAATTACATGTGGCTAGTATTAGACTGTAATTATAGAGACTAGAATAATGTTGAATCAATTTTCTAATCAGTACTGTTTGAGTCAAAATATAGCTGGAAGGTAGCAAAAGATATGCTAGCAATTTTAGATTATTTTGAGGGACAGGTAAGATACAAGATGAAGTAATACTTTATTCATTTAAGTTGTTTATGTTAAGAAAATCACCTTTAGATGAATAAGTTATTTGATCTCTAATCAGAATCAGGGATTTGTAGACTATTTTACGGAGATGACTTTCAGGTGGAGTTACAGGGTGAGCTATAAAGAATGAGAGAGGGACAGAGCAGATGGGGCCATAGTCTTCTGACCGGGACAACACTGAATATTTATACTGGGGCTACCCATAATAATTGATTTTAAGAAGGTGTCACCTACTTTAAGAAATTTCTTTTTCTTGAACTTTAGTTTAAAAAAACAAAACTTAAACAAAAACAGTTACCTGTGTTTCCACAAGGTCAGGATCATCAGCACTGTCCACATCCACATCTCATCACACTGGAAGGTCTTCAAGGCTAATAACATGCATGGAGCTATCATGAACTGTGGTGGGCTTACAGGACAATTGTCAAATAAGCATAAATCCTACTTTAAAAGGGCTATCTTGAAGATATTTTCTGAAGATAAATTTTGACTCCAGCTTCAGAGGAATCTGAACTTGATGGACAGTGGAAGAAATCATGATGTGTGAAATTCTTTCAATAAGAATTTATTAAAAAATTTTTTTTAATGTTCTACATATAATAATAAAAAAACCTCTGTACTGTTTATTAAAAAAACCAAACAGGAAAAAAAACGTAAACCTTTGCCCTAGACCCAGCGGTATGCTAGAGCCTACTTGTCCTGGCTCATGAAAGCAGATTGTTATATTTTCAGGAATTTTGCATGCTGGTTGATGGCTGTTTTGTTAGTACTTGAAATTGGTCATTGTGGGAGTATTTGCACAATGGATATTAGTAAATGCTGTGAATCAGCCTCTTCCTTGTTCTCCGGGGAGCTTGTTTTTAAATAGTATTCCACTACCTACTATGAGGATTTTAATTGATACTAAATATTTACAAGTGGAATCGAAGTCTTCAGTTTGTTTTATTTTGAGAAAACAATATATTCTGCCAGAGTTTGGTGTTTTTCATTTATCTGATACCTGAAGGCTTCGTATAATTTAAGGCAAAGTAGGCAAATTATGTATTAAATGTATTCATCTTTAGAATATACCTTCACTAAAACCAAACAAATGTAAACCCAACAAATAACAATTTTTTTAAGGAATAATGTTTCATAGATATCTTGTGACCTGTGTGACAACATTGATATATCTTGTTAGAGGTCAATGAGTTGGATTCCTAACATATAGTATTATTAATGAATTTAGTGTTAGTCTATAACATTAGATTATAATTGTACATTATACAGTTGTGTTAGTGATAAATTTTCTAGCTTAAGTCAATTGTATCAAAAGTCATTTGTTAGATACCAAAGTACCTATTGATATTACTAACTTTATATATGAAGAACTGTTTGATCTTAGATTTAATTGGAAACTGAAAAATCATAAAAAGAAAAGTATAGATATTACATATCATCGATTTAGCTCATCAAAATATGCAAATAAAAGGTATTTTTATTTGCTAATTATTTTAGTAGTATTTTGTAATTTTTTTTCTTTTCACTATAGTCCCAGAATTACATTTAAATCATAGTATTTGGAAGTTTGGGGGTTTTATATACCCTGTCTATCCCATATATGTTTTTTTCCTTTAAAGACTCAGGATCCAGTCACTATGTGTAATCTGTCCTCTAATACTGATTCCTGTAATAATGTTCCTTCAAATCATTTTTTCTTGAGTTTTGTAACTTAAATGTGCCGTTCACTGACTCACGCAAATGTTTTCTGCTTTTTACCTTAAGTAGTCCTTTTATATGCTCTCTCAGTTTTATGTTTTGGAAGAATGATACTAAGTGCTTTGATTTGATTAGTAAGATTTTTTGAAACACATGTAAATTAATTTCAGAAATATAATTGCTTAACTTTTTTTTCTCTATAATTATAGTGCAGTCATTGGTGAAATTGATGAAGAAACAGATTCTGCACTTGATTTGGGGAATATTCGAGCAGAACCTCTGAACTCTGTAGCACACTGAGAAAAAAACAACATACTTGGACACCTGTAAATCTTTGTATAGAAACTGATATCCTGAGGATTATGTGTGGAATTTTTATGAGTGTATAATTGTGGATTTTGACTTTATATTGATTCACTGTAATATGTACATTAAAATATTTCAGCATATTATTGAAAATACCTTTTTTGTTTTACCTAAATAAGTTTGGTAGCTTGGTTTTATTTTTCTATTAAATAGTATGAAAATCTAATGATCATTTTGCAAATCTTTAGAAAAATATAGTACTTTCTGATATTTTAATATTTATAGAAAACTAATGGAAAAGGGAAACTTGTGTGCCATATAAATCATAAAAATAACATCAGTAGTACAAGATATATAAGTGTGTGTGTGTGTGTGTGTGTGTGTGTATATGTGTGTGTATTTACCTGATTTTAAGAAAGTCACAGGAAGATAAATCCTTTCTGTACTCACCTGAATCGGACATTTATCCCACTGCATTGGTGGTTTGCTAGTGCTTTTGAAAGTTACTCCATAGCACTTAGAGGTTAAAATGTGTTTGGATGAGAAAAAGAAAAATGCTAACAAAGTTTTAATAGATTGGGCCAAAAATTGGGACTCGAATGTTAAGGATGACTAGGAAAGGTAGAATTGATGGAGAGATTATTGGTAAAGTCTTTGGAAGCCCAATAAGTTAGATATGAAACACATCAATACTGAATTTTACAGATAGTATATTTGAAAAAATTGATTCTGTATAGTCTTAAAAGCCATCATAGCTTTTCATTTTTAAGAATTGGGGGATTTCTAATATTAAAAAGTTATTGTTTATAGATGTGAGTAAATAAACTTTATATTGAAGCAGTGCTTACTTTTATTGTCAACAGTTTTTCATGATTCATTAGTACCGTAAACCTGATTCAAAAGTTCATTTTTAAAGAATGATAGAGAAACAATGTGGTAAAAATCCACAAAAATTCTCATCAGCTCGTGTAATCCAAAGTGTGTCACTGAAATGAGAAAAAAAAAAAAAGGAAAATATTTACCTCCTTGTAATTCAAATAAAATTTTTTTTTTTTTCTTTATTTTTGTATGGAAGTGCTTAGAATAGGGATTGACAAATTTTTTCTGTAAAGATCCATATAGTAGGCCTTGGGAGGCCATATGGTTTCTGTCATAGCTAATTCAACTCTGCTGTTGTAGCACATAGATGACCACAGATAAATGAGTAGGCATAGCTGTTTTCCAATAAAAAATCATGTATAAAAAAAAACAGGTGAGTGGTCTGGATTTGGATTTTTGCTGATCCGTGACTTTTATCTATGTAAGATCAACAAGAAAAGATGATTGCCAATGTGTATAAATTCTGGAATAGATACTTCAGGAGAGTTGTTTTCTGTTTTAGTTTTTTTTTTTTTGAGTCAGAATCTTACTGTCACCCAGGCTGGAATTCAGTGGCACGCTCATGGCCCCAACCTTCTGAATTCCGGCGATCCTTATGCTTCAGTCTTCCAAGTAGCTGGAACTACAGGCATGTGCCACCACTTCCAACTAATCTTTTGGTTTATTGCAGAGACCAGGTCTCACCAAGTTGCCCAGGCTGGTTTCAGAGATGGCTCAGGCATCCTCTTGCCTCTTCTCTAAAGTACTGAGACTACTTTGGAGTGGCGTGAGCCGCTATGCCCAGTCACATACTTTGAGAGAGTTGAGAGTGGGTTTCATAAATATTTTTAAATATTTAATACTTTTTGCTTATTAAACACGGAAGTTTTTAGAGGAGGAAAATACCCTCACTCACAGAAACAGGCCTTGAAAGGGAGAGAAAGTTGAGAAAGCTTTCTTGGTTGTGAAGCACTGTCAACTTAGAATGACTTGGTTGATGTTAAGGGCTGTCTGGGAGGATTAGAGATTAGCTAATAAATATAAGGATGTGACTTTTGTAGTACAAATTTTTATAATCAATTTAGTAATAATGCAAAATGGATAAGCCAAACACGTTTAATTAGGGATGGTAAGTCAAATATTCTATTTTAATAAATAATGGTATTTTAAATTGGTAAACTAATTCCAAAAATGTAATAAGAATACATTATTCAGTTGCTAAGAAAAGTACGTTTTAATGGTACAAGTGAAATCTCGAGTCAGATCTTTTACTAAAATGCTTGACATATCAACACAAATTACACATAAACAAGTTAACAGAACAGTCCTAGCCCTCAGTTTCTAATGGGTTTCTAGTGTGATACATCCTCTTTTGAAATCTAAAACACCTTACAAAGATGTATTTTTCTGATGGATGTTAGAAAAAGCATTTCTAAAATGGGAATTATTGCCTTTTTAATGGTTACGGGAAAGTAAGTGGTGATACCAAATGGCATATACAGTTCTTTATATCTAGTTTACACATGGTAGGCTTTTTATGCTCGTGACCAATTCAAGTATGGATGTTTTTGTATAAGTATTGGAACCACAACCATGAGTGGTAATGTGATTAATATGCAGTGCCAAGTTTTTTATACTTCATGAGACTTATTCTCTAATCAGTTTCTTGTAAGGAAGCTCAAATCTAATTAATTACCTCTGCTCTGTGACTCAGGCACAATCAAACCCAGCTTAATAAAGAATCAAATTTTTTTTGGCAAGATACTACTTGAAAAGGGCAATTAACTGCAAAAAGGATAATTTTTTTAATGAAAAAATACTAAGATAGTTTAAAATAACATTGTTTTTAGGCTAAAGCACTTTGATAAGTTAAATGTCCTCACGTGCTGACAATCTTGACTTAAATATTACAAATCTTGATCCCAGAAGAACAAGAGATTACTAATTATTCTTTGCTTAAACATTGGTTTAATACTTTATAAAAATTATTCTGAAGTTTTAAGCTAATAATGCGAGATGTAGGTATGATAAAACAACCTTAAAGTGGTATTTAGTGCACATATAGGATAACCATGTCAATATTTTTCTCAGACGTGCTACCTAGGTTCACCATGTAGATGAGAAAGTAAAGTTGCTTCATAATGGCATGTGAACCAGACTGCTTAGTGGTCAGAGTTATAAAACAACTCTTAATCAACAATATAGCACAAGGGGACTCCCCCCAAAAAACCTGAAATTCGTTTTTTAAAAATACATATTTATTCTTACGTGTTTAAACTTCAGGCGCCTTCAAAGTACTCTGTTTGATGAAATACACCTACTGAGATGCTTTTTTACTGCTCAAAACAGTTTTTGAACTTGTCAATTTTGATGCCTTTTAGTGCTTCTGACATTTTTTCCCCCACCTCTTCCATATCAACAAAATGTTTCCTTTCGAGCACATTTTTCACCTGGGGAAACAAAAAGTCTGTGGGAGCAAGAATGGGTGGATAGGGAGGGTGGGTCACGGGGGTCATGCCGTTTTTGATCAAAAACTGCTTGAACAATCAGAGTCGGGTGGACAGGTGTGATCATAAATCACCCACTATGAAATGAGCAAGTGCATTGAAAGAATCTCCAAAAAAAAAATTTGGCTGAAGCCAAAGGCAGCCTTTCACAACAATGCTAGCTGGTAGACTGATGCCGATGGGTTCCTATACTACAAGGAATCTGCTCTCCAAAAGATAATTCCATTTTTGGGAATCCTCCATCATATGTTCTTGGCCTTCACCTTCAAAATTAGTAGGGAACGTTTATTGAGTGCATAGCACGTGCTAGGCATGATGTTAAGCACTTACAACGATTTTTTTTTTTGAGTTGCAGTCTCACTCTGTCACCCAGACTGGAGTGCAGTGGCCGCTGCACTGATTTATTGTAGAGGTGAGGTCTCGCCAAGTTGCCCAGGCAGGTCTCGAACCAGCGGGCTCAGGCGATCCACTCGCCTCGGCCTCCCAAAGTTCTGGGATTACAGACGGAGCCACCGAGCCTGGCCTGATTCTTTTACATACAGAAAAATTGAGATTCACAGGGTCAAGTGCCTTGAAAGAGGCAGCACTCAAATTTGACCAGGTCTTTGTGCTCCTTATACAATACTGCTCATTAGCACATAGTATAGTTTCAAAATCTTTGCTATCTATCAGAAGCCTGACTGAGAAATACTTAGATGATCTATGGCAGTTCCTAAAGCTGTGTTGTGGACCATTTTCACTATAATTACTTAAGGTGCTTAAACAACAATCTTAGGTCCTGCTCTCAGTGATTGTGATTCAGCAGCTCTGTAAAGGGGCAAGAAGGAATAGTTGTTAACATTGAAGGAAAACAAGGTGGAATTATTAAAATACTAAGCACTTATCATGTGTTAAGTCTCTAAGTACCCCCCACAGGAAGCTTATCTTCAAGATAAGGATAGCAACACCTGTCTTCTGGGGTTGTAACAAATAAAATGAGACTGCATTTAAAACACTTGGTATGATTTCTGGGACATAACAGTAAACAGTTATTATTCTAGGTATTCAACGGCCAATATGGAAAAGTTACAAAGGTGAGTCTTGTCACCTTATTTTTTTCAGAGCCCGTCCCACTGGCTACCATATCTGCAAGAGAATGGAATATATAAATTATGAAAAATTCAGGTTATGTGGAAGGTATGTATGAGTTTGCGTTATTTAAATGAATATACAAAACAATTGAAATTGTTTCTGCAGCAGTCATATACCCTTGATTCAGAGTTTGGAAAGGAAAACTCACGTCTTTTAAATGTAAAGAGGAATCTCTCCATTCTAAATTTGTACAGTTACTACCTCATTTTGTAGAGCTGGCAATTTTAGATTTCATTTTACTCGTTTTGGGCTGTTGTAGTTTTTTTTATTTTTATTTTTTAACATGGGCTATTAACTTCAGTTTCTAAGTCATGGGCAAATTTGATAAAATTGCTTTCTGTTTACATGTATGATTTAAAAAAAAGTTGACAAGGCAAATCTATTTCCATTCAACTTGACACTGATCCATTAAACAGCATAGTGCTCTCATTCAACCAGTGACAAGTTTATTTAACTGCAAGAATCTTGTACTTATCCTGTTCATAGGGATTATTTGTATGAAATTTGATCAAACGCTTTAATGTGATCTTCATTCCGCAATTACAGTGGGAAATTATGTGAGGTGGACTTGGTTAGTGAATCGATGCTGTCCCCTAGTGGTCATTGCTTCTTTTCCTGTGTCCACAGACTTAAAAGATTGATTTTAGAATTTTGTCAGGGAAAATTCAAGTTGCTAATACACGCCAGGCACTGTGTTCAAAGATGTTGGATATACCAGGGAACAATATTAATAAGTTCTTGTCTTTTTAAAGCTTGTATCTATCTGTATCTACCTCAACCAAATTATCTTGACTCAAAGACTTACTGTCCAAGATCATGAGTTATTTCCATCCAAAGTCATGAGTTATTTCATCGGATTCTTTCATTATTCTAGGATATAACTTATGGGGCCTGGATTTGTTCAAAGAAGCTAGAATTGGTAATTTTAAGTGTATATAATTCATATCAATAATTTTTCCCTCTTAACCAAGTCTCCAAAAGTGAATGCCATAAAAGCTAAGATAGACATGTGGGACTTCATCAAACTGAAAAGTTTTTGCACAGCAAAAGAAACCATCAAGTGAGTGGGGAGACAACCCCACAGAATGGGAAAAAAATATTTGCAAATTATGCATCTGACAAAGGCCTAACATCTAGGATATACAAGGAACTCAAATGAAGTGAAAGGCAAAAAGCAAACAACCCCATGAAAAAGGGGACGAAGGTTATGAACAGACATTTCTCAAAAGAAGGCATACAAACAGTCAACAGACACATGAACAAATGCTCAGACTTATTAATCATGAGAGAAATGCAAATCAAAACTGTAATGAAACACCACCTAACTCCAGTAAGGATGACCATCAT